TCACCATATCATAGAAAGTCACATTCCAGTGTACCCTGGAGATGGCTGACACTCTGACCTTGGCTGACATTAAACCTCAGGAAAGAAGAGTAAGGTGAAACAACCAGCCTAAAGTAACTCTAATGTTATTCCAAACTCTGGGAAGAAGGTCTTTCCTCGGGAAGAGGGCAGAAAAATTTCTCAATCATCACAAAACCCTTCTGACTTTCTATGTGTACAAGCCAAAGGTGTGTGAAATGCCACACAGGGAGATCTCACACAGAGGCCTCTTTCCAGGTACGTTTTAGATTTCCAGCTGTGGTGGCATCACACAATATAAGTGTGTTCCCACATGAGTCAATGAACAATCCCAATTCAGGACATTCAGACTTTGCCTTTCTTCTGGTATCCAGGTCTATGGTTTACACACTTCGTTCAGCAGCAAAGCAATAATATTTAGGCTCCATCCTTTTCTCCTATTTTGGGGAGCCTGGCTAAGGGTATGTACTAAGTGGAACAGACCTAGGCTTTACAACTTTCTAGCCATGCAATCTTGGGCAAATAATTTTCCTCTTTTATAATTTTCCTCATTTTGCTGGGATATGAAGAAAGGTAAACAAATATCTATAAAGCATCTAGCAATGTACTCGCCCAAGATTGCATTCAACAAATACTTACTAAGCCTATGCTATGCGCCACTCAGTGCTCTAGGCACTGAGGACGTGGCAATGAACAAAAATCCCTGCTCCTGTGGAACTAACAGGGAGTGGAGGGGCGAGGTGGAGGGCTGGAGAGAGGTCTATCAGAGGGTGATAAATGCTATGGAGAAAGACAGAGAAAGAGGTTGCAGTGTGCTATGGGAAAGGAGTTGCTATTTTTAAATGGAATGACTGAAGAAATCCTCACTGAGAAGTTGGCATTTGACCAAACGATCTGAAAGAAATGAGGTAAGGCACCACGAGGAAAGAGGAAAAAGAACAAATGCAAAGGGCTAGCTCAAGGCAGGAGCATGTCTGTCTTGTTCAAAGAACAGTGAGAAGGCCAACAGGCAGGATGAACAGGTGGAGGAGAAATGAGGGTAAGCCAGGTAAGCTAGGTAACTGAGAGCCCAGGACTTTGGCTTTTTCTCTGAAAGATATAGTTTTGAACAGAAGATCTATACGATTAGATTTACATTTTGAAAGGATCATTCTGACTGTCCTATTTAAAACAAACAATTGGCAGGCAAGGGCACAAGTGGGAAACCAACTGAGGCTAGCACCTCTCCAAACCAGAAACAATAGTTAAGGTCAAGGTGGTAGTGGCAGAAGTTATGAAGGATGTCTGAATTTCTGATACGTTTTAAAGGTAGAAAAAAAAGGATCTGCTAGCAGAATAAATATTAAGTGTGAACTCGTTAAGTTTATTTTTTTATTTTTTATTTTATTTTATTTTTTTATTTATGATAGTCACAGAGAGAGAGAGGCAGAGAGGCAGAGACACAGGCAGAGAGAGAAGCAGGCTCCATGCACCGGGAGCCCGACGTGGGACTCGATCCCGGGTCTCCAGGATCGCGCCCTGGGCCAAAGGCAGGCGCCAAACCGCTGCACCACCCAGGGATCCCCACTCGTTAAGTTTAAAATGCTGATTAGACATCCGAAATGTCAATTAAGAGGTTAGATATACAAGTCTAAAGTTCAGAGGAGAAGTCTGAGCTGGAAACACAAATCCAGGAGTTTTCAATGAACAGATGATCACTAAAACAATGGAAATGGCTTCTAAATGTCATTTATTTATTACGCAGTAATGAAAAATCTAATGAACAGTAACTGCTTTTATAAACTCTGTTTTCTTGAGGTGCTAAAAATACTTGCCAACTCTTAGCATGAATAAAACTCTGATGCCTAATCAAACCCATCACCAATCCCTCACGAAAATTTGACCTTCGACTTTCAATTAAAGTATCAGATAAGGGCAGCCCGGGGCGGGGGGTAGGGGGTGGTGGTGGTGGTGTTCAGAGGTTTAGCACCACCTTCAGCCCAGGGCCTGATCCTGGAGACCTGGGATCGAGTCCCAAGTCAGGCTCCCTGCATGGGGCCTGCTTCTCCCTCTGCCTGTGTCTCTGCCTCTCTCTCTCTGCCTCTGTGTGTGTGTGTGTGTGTGTGTGTGTGTCTCATGAATAAATAAATAAAATCTTAAAAAAAAAAGTATCAGATAAGTGGGGGTGCCTGGATGCTCAGTCAGAAGAGCATGTGACTCTTGATCTCAGGATCCTGAGTTTGAGCCCTACATTGGGTGCAGAGACTGTTTTAAAAAATATATATATATATGTATTTTTTTAAACATCAGATAAGTGGAGGTGTTGTGGTATTAAGTAGTAAAGGCACTAATTCTAAAGACAGATTTGAATCCTCTATCTTAGCCACATACTAGTTCTATGACCCTTAAACTATAATTTTTTTTTTTTGGAAGATGGAGCTAATAACATCTCTGGTTACAAGATTGTTGTAATGATAACAAATCCATTAATTCATTTGTTCAATATATACTTACTGAGCATCCATCACATGCCCAGGACTGTGTCTAGCACTAGGGCTACAATGGTAAACAGGCAGAGGTCATACTGTTCTCATGGTGCTAATAGCCCAAAGGACCAAAATATTTCTAGACAGTGAAGACAAAATTTAATTTTTTAAAAAATCATCTGAAAAAAAATATGTAAAGAGCATCACACAATGCCTGACAAGAAGTAGGTCCTAAATAAATGAGCACACTTATTATTTTATAATTAAAGTATATAAATTCTCATAGAACAATACTTTTAGAATTGGGATGACTTTTAGAAATCAAAAGATCCAAATGCTTCATTTAACAGATGAGCAGATTAAGTTACTCCAAACTTACTCAGAACACCTGTTCAATCAGGCTGTGAGCCAGGTATGTGGGATACTGGAATGAGTAAAACACAGTCCCCTCCTTATGTCAAGTAAATATGCAGAGGGAAGTGGCCTGCCTGGGGTAACCTAAGTGTTCACTGAGGCTGGAAATCACATCTTCTAAATTTCAGTGTTTTGCTCTTTCCATTGATCCAAAATTACTCCATTCAAATAAGAATACTTATCAGGAAGAAGCTTACCATGTGCCCTGTGCCAAAGAGTGGCATCCTACAGCTCAGCAAGTCCTCACAGGTAGGCTGTCAGAAAGAATAATTTGGGCTTAGAAAGTGATCCTTTTTGCTCTATAAATTGTCAATAACAGGCAGCAGCCAGGGCCTTGGAGGCATTGGTAGGAAATTATAGAAGGATGGAGAAAAATAAAGTGAAAACCACTGGACAAGCAGAGAGAAAACAGAGCAAGGCCTCTCTCCTTCACTCCAGAGGTTAAGTCACATTCCCTCCAGGGTAAGGCCAATCACAGAACTCTACCTTCTCTCCGAACCATCCGTCCATCCTCACCCCCTTACAAGGCGCTCTTTAGAGTCTCGGGATTGAGCTTCTAATGGAAAAAACAGCACAGTGGAGTTAGGAAGAGCACCCCTTGAGGGTTCACAGACCTCAGCTGCAAGGCCGACTCCACCTCTAACTGGCTGAATGTCTCTTACCTTGTCTATTTCCACATGGAAAAAGTTGACTATACCGTACTTATTCTGTGAGTTGTGGTGAGCATTAGAATTATGTTCAATGTATCTAGAAAAATGTATAGCATGCAGAGGCCACTCAAATATGGTCCTGTCATTAATTATTAATAACATCCAGGTCTCTCCTATCTACGCCACACTCCTTTTTGACTGTAGGCTTCAACACAGCACCACAATATAGGGCTCCGACAGGAACAGGAATCTCTGAGGGAGGCATGGCACCTCCACTGGCTAGGTTTCTCTCTCTCTTCTTCCTCAACCTAGACCATCTCAGCCCCCCACTCCGCTTTGCTAGCTTTGAGAAACAAAATCTTTGAACCTGCCTTCCCTGGTCTCTCTTCAAAATATCACTCTTGTTTCTTCCTTCCCTTACCACTATGTTTCTCAAAAGGGAAGTCTGTCCTTGCTGCCTCTGTGTCCTCACCTCCTACTCCCTCCCAAAGCCACGGCAGTCTAGCTTCCATCTCCACTCCTCTACTGAAACTGCCGTCACAGGTCACCAATGACTCAACAGCTTCATTTCAGGGCTCACCCTATTTGTTCTCTGCTTTGGTAGATACTTACTTTCTTTTACAAACTCTTCCCATTCCTGGCTTCCCAGACAGTATTTTCTCCTACCTCTCTGATTGCTCCTCCTCAGACTCCCTCCCTATCTCTACTGTCTACACATAATCCAAGTTCCCCTGAGCCCTATCCTCAATGTCCTTCCTTTCCCCACTTTATGGATTTTACTCAGGTGATTTCACCTATTTCTAATGGTCTCCACTCTCAGAAATCATTCCTATAGCTATGTTCCTACCTCTCTGAGGAGCTCCAAAACTCCTGTCTTCTCCCCCTAAGTAGTGGATGTCATCCATAGGCATCTCAAAATCAGCATTAACTCCCCACAGCAGCTCTCCAGGCTGTATTTCCACGTGTTAATAGCCTCACACTAACAGTCACCTAACACTTCCTCCTTCGCCCTTCACGCACACATTTCAATCTGTGCCCATGATGACTGCCCTTGTCCCAGCCTCCAGCATTTGCAACTGCTCTATTGCCTCTGGTTTACCCATTCTCAGCCTTCTGAGCATAGGCATCATAGAGATCTTTCTAGAACACCATTCTGACCAAGTCACTCTCCACCTTAAATATCTAAAGGAAAGCTCAACTCCAATAGAATGTAAACTCTTTGCCACTGAGAACCCCTTCTCAACAGCCAGTCAGTCCATCACCAGAACCAACTCACCATTCCCCGAACATGGCCATGTACATCCTCACTCACATTGCCAAGTACTCTTCTGGTCATCCTTTTTCCCTTTTTTTTTTAAGTATAATCTCAATTCCCCCCACCCCACCCCCATCCCCCACCCCAGAGAACAGTTTTTCTTCAGTCCTTAGCTCCTTACATGGGCTTTGGTGGAGGTCATGGGGCAGAACCCACAGGTCTAAATCGAGATGGGGGTGTTCCTTCCTTCTGTGCTTCATGAGAATGGTTCCTGACTTCCTTACTATGGATGACACAGCTCACATAGTAATACAGCTTGGGAAGCACATAGGCCTTGAACACACTTGCTTCAGAGATGTCCCTGACAATGGTGACCTCTACGTTCCCAATAACAAACTTTCTTTTTTGAAGATTTTTTTATTTATTTGTTTCAGAGAGAGTGAGAGTGAGAGTGAGAGAGATCACAGAGGAAGAGGGAGAAGCAGACTCCTCACTGAACAGGGAGCCCAATGCAGGGCTCGATCCCAGGGCCCTTCAGATCATGACCTGAGCCACAGCCAGAGGCTTAGCCAACTGAGCCACCTAGGGGCCCCCAATAATGAACTTCTTAATGGCCTTGTCCTTGGGCACACAACAGGCACAGCTGGTGTAGCAAACAGGCCACACGCAGCTGCGGCCCTTTTTGACATGACCATTATTTCTTCTCTTCTTGGTCATCTTGGAAGTGAGGATCCAAGAGACACTCTTCTGGTCATCCTTAAAGATCCACCTTAAACATGTCTGAAGCCTTCCCTGACTCCCTCTTGCTAAGCATTTCTTTCCTCCCAATAAGTTTTCTATGTTCCTCTACTGTAGCACTTGTGACACTGTATTGAATGTACTTGCTTGTGTGCTTAATCTTCTCCATAGTCTGTGGATTGCTCAAGGACAAGGACTAAGTCTGTCACATCTCTGTAACCCAGCCCACTTGTCCAGTCTCTCAAGATGAGCAGCAAGACAATCAACCATGATGGAGAAACTCCCCCTGTATCAGAAGAGCAGACTCCAATGGCCACAGAAGTCTTAATACTTCCCCTCTTGCAAATGCTTCCAAATGCTGCGTGGATTCTGACCCCAGAGGAGGTATTCCTGACCTGATTCCTGGGGTCCTTCTGCCTGGAACAGTCTGTTCAATAGGGATAAGATAGCTTCCTGCAGATTATAATTCTTTGGAAAATGATTTCTAAAATGGGCTAATTACAAGTAGAGCTGGCCACTGCCAGATCCATCTCAGGAAGTCATGTCAAGACTTTCACATACCTTCAAAAGTAACTGAGGTGAGTACTACAACAACCTATGGCTAGTCTGCACCATATTACTTGCCACAAGTTACTTCACTAGCTAGAAATCTATGATAGCTTCTCACTGGCTAAAACTGCATTGCATGGTGATTAAGAGCAAGAACCCCAGGAATCTATTATCCAGGCCTGAATCCTAATTCCACGACTCATTAACCATGGGAGTTTGAGCAAGTTATTTAAATTCTCTGGGCTTGTTTCCTTACCTGTACAGTAAGAAAGTAACAGTATCTACCCTCTTAGGATTGGTATAAAGATTAAATACCCTAATAATAAGAATTAAATAATAAAAAATTAAATCAGCTCACCATTATAAATGTTAATAACAATGCCTGGCTCGTGGTAAGAACTTAGTAAATTATATGTAAACATTTTCAGCTTTCAAGTTCCTCTGACATTTAAAACCTAAGACAAGAACTATTGTCCATTTACATGCTACATACAACTCACCAGTTCCCAATCCTTTTAACTTCTGACTCTATCACTTATGATTTTTTGCCTCTACCCACAGTATCAATCCCCATCTACCAGCCCCTCCCTCTGTCCTTAGCTGCAAATTCCTTCTGGCAGTGCTAGCTGCAGCTGCCTGGAAAACACCCCCTCAGTAGAGTACCCCTGGGTGGTGCCATGCCTAAGAGCAATGCAGGATAACACCTTCACCTGAGCACTCCATTCTCCATGCTCTCTCCTACCTGCACATAGGTCATTTTTACAATCCTAATGCCTCCCTGAACTGCAGTAGATAAACCTTAAAATGAGTTTTAGAGACTAGGTCATACCATCTCCAGGAAGCCTGCTAGACTATAACCACTAAAGTCTTAATCTGTAAGATATACTTCTACACTCATATCATATCTAACCATCTCTATTAGATGAAGTTCCATGAGGCAGTATCTGGTTTTCCATCACTATGGTCCTATTATCCTAGAACAGTAATTGGGTCACAGTAAATGTTTAATATTCACTGAATGCAATTATTCTAACCCAACCTCTTTATCTTTAAATAAGAAAATGGGGTGTCTGGGGGGCTCAGTTGGTTGGGCATCCAACTCTTGATTTTGGCTCAGGTCATGATCTCAGGGTCATGAGATGGAGTCCTGCATCAGTTTCTGCACTGGGCATGGAGACTGCTTGGGATTTTCTTTCTCCCTCCCCTCTGCCATTCCCTCCTACTTATGCTCATGCTCTCTCTCTAAAAAAATAATAATAATAATTAAATAAATAAATAAGAAAACCAAGATTGAGAAAATAGAAGTATCTCAGTCAAAACAGAGGGAGGACTGAAACCCAGAACTCTACAAGACTGAAATTATGAATGCAATCCACCCCAACCCACTTCTGGGCCAACTACAATTCACAAGAGAGCAGACAGTTCTCTGATTGAACTGAGTGCTGTTCCCTCGAAGCAGGGTATTTTTCTTCTCCTCCAGAAGCAAGACTATGCTAACTATAGAACCTCAATTAGCAAAATCTCCTACCATTGATTCTGGGACATAATCATGGACTGGTGGATTAACCAAGATCTCCAGCTTCTGTAACAACAACCCAGTCTGTGAAAGGAAGGAGAACCCTGGAGTTACTTGGCAACCAAAGGAGAGGTTGCCATTCTACTTCTCCAAGCCCTACTAACAGAAAAGCAGAAGCCACTTTGTATTCATTTACCTAATTGTGTTCTATGGAACACTAGTGTCTTATGTAATGTTAATAGATGTGTTTGGGGTTTAGGGGAAGGGGGTGGAGATTCCATAATCAAAAAATACAGGAGGGGCACCTGGTTAGCTCAGTCCATAGAGCATGCGACTCGATCTCAGGGTCATGAGTTCAAGCTTAAAAAAAAAAACAACTGTAGGCAACCCTACATACCTTTCCTTATTATATTAAAGGCTCCCAGCTTTTCCAAACTTGATCTCAGAGGTCTCTCAGAATAATACCTATTGTCTTTTCATATGATAGTGATATTCTGAAGAACACTTATTTTTTAATTTACTTTAAGAAATTATTTTAAAAGGGTATAGTGTACAAATGTATAAAGGTAGTTATTGGGATACCTGGGTGGCTCAGTGGTTGAGGTCTGCCTTTGGCTTGGGGTGTGATCCTGGAGTCCCGGGATCGAGTCCCGCATCGGACTCCCAGCGTGGAGCCTGCTTCTCTCTCTGCCTGTGTGCCTCTCTCTCCATCTCTCATGAATAAATAAAATCTTTTTAAAAAATAATAAATAAAATTACACTACTTTTTCTAGCACAATAAGTTTGGGAGAAAGTAAACGTGGAGTCAGATCTGTCTGCTAACTTTAAAGCCTGTATATTATTATACTATATTCCTTGACAGTTGTTTATTCCAAAAAATCTTTACTGAGCTGCAGATGAAAGGGATATAAGGAAGTATAAGATTTAGTAATCTCTGCCCTTTTGGAACTCATAATTGGTAATGTTCATTGCTATGATAGAGAGAATGATAATATAGGGATAGATAGAAGGAAAGGAGGTAATGGCAGCTTGAGGGGAGCCTTAATCTTTGGTGGTAGGAGAAGTTGCCAGGGAAGGCTTCCCAGAGAAGTGGGTATCTCAGTGCTAGTCTAGTGATAAAGAACATGGTGGGACAGGGGAAATAGGCAGAGAACATGGGCTCTTGGAGGAATAGACCAGTTTCTAAAGGAGGCCAGTTTCTGGCCTATCTAATGAAGAAGTAGGAAAGGAAAGAGGGGTCTTTACCAGATATAGCATTTCTAGGACAAACTAGAGATCCTTTAGGGAGCACATGCCAGATTGGGTTGCCACCAGATACAAACAGCTACCCTCTTGGAAATAATTAAATGTCAGTTTTGACTCTGATGGAATCTTAGGCCTCAAAAAAATATTTTGAAATTGCTTAAATAAACCCTACTCTACTGATAATAAGAGAACCTGGCTTCATTTGTCCCAACTTGAGTTGAATACAGGAGAAACACAGGTTAGACAATGATCATTACAATGGTTGACAATTAATGAGAGCTTATTATGTGTCAGGCAATCTGCTAAATGTTCAACATGAATTATCTCATCTTAATCTTCACAACAGCCCTTTGAGGTAGATAATATAATTATCTCCATGTTATAGATAAGACAGTAGGTTCAGAGAGGTGAAGTAACTTGCCCAAAGTATTATAGTAAGTGATGGAACCTACACAGACTGATCCCAGGGCCTATGTTCTTCATCATAGACTAGCTGACTACCTACTCTGGGAAGCCTCTCTGACAAATCCTCTACCATGAAAGATTAAGGGCCCCTGAGCTCCTACTGCCTCCTATCCTTCTATCAACTTCTTATCCCCATTCCCTCTAATGTAGCAGTGAGCCATCACCAAAATGATGAGTTCCCTGAGGGCGGAGATTACTAAATCTTAAACTCGTAACTCTTCTACCTAGTATTGCATCTGCAGCTCAAACAAAAAGTTTTTTTTTTTAGAATAAACAACTGTCAAGGAATATAGTATAATGATAGAAAGACACAGGTTCTAAAATCAAATAGGCTTTGATCTGAATCTAGGCACTGCCACTTCTTAGCTATAATCTTGGCTAAATTACTTAACCACTCTGGGGTTCAGAGTGGTAAAATGTTTTGTCATATAACATTGTAAGAAAACTAAGCTAAGCACCTTATACAGTGCCTGGCACATAAAAGTTACCCAATTTTATTTACCATCCTCCTCCTTTCGCTTTGTCTTTCACATATTGGTAAAAAGACCTCTGGTCTCAGGATCCAGAGTATAATTAGCTATAATCTTAATTAAGTACTTCTCCTTTCTGGGCTTAATTTCCTCATCTACAACTCACGGACTATTGGTTCAGAACAAATGAAATAAAACGTGCTTGAGTGGTTAAAAAGCACCGCACAGATGGAAGGAATTTTTGTCATTCCACCAAACCAGCTTTTAAAATCAGCCTCAGGGACGCCTGGGTGGCTCAGCGGTTGTTTTCTGCTCAGGGTGTGATCCCAGGATCTGAGATCGAGTCCCATATCAAGCTTCTTGTGGGGAGCCTGCTTCTCCCTCTGTGTCTCTGCCTCTCTCTTTCTGTTTCTTTCATGAATAAATAAAATATATTAAAAAGAATAAAATTAAATTAAATTAAAATCAGCCTTGAACTGCACTACATGTAAGTGTCTTGAAGCTCACAAAGACCGATCTTTCAGAGACCTAAAAGCTATAAAAGGAGGGAGTATTTGCACTGTCACTAGGAGAAGGAGCCAGTCCCACTGAAGAGCTGAGGTAAGACACTGCCAAATGGCTTGACTCCAGCAGTCCCTAGCTAATTAAGGCCTTGCTCCCCTGCTGTCTGCCTGTGACCTCTGCAAAGGCTAGAGAACACCAAGTGCTCCACAGCAGCTCTTCTCTTGGCCACA